TCAAAAAATATTTCATGAACACATCTGAAAAAATATTTCAAAATATTGGATGCATATAAAAAAATATTTTAAAATGCATCTTAACCTTTTTTATATATATAACCTGTCAAAATTTGAGTTGTATGTAGATAAATTTCATGGTACATGTGAGCCATTTGCAAAAAGATAATAACTAAAACTAAAAGCATGGGACTTGTGTGTGTAAATGTAAAAGTTCAGGAAGGTTTATTACAAAATTTCAAAGGTTAAAGAGATTATTTATATATATCAAAAGTTTGGGGAAATTTAGTGTAATTTAGCCAAAGATTTTTCAGAGGGGTGATAAGCGTACCAAAATGACAGCGTCACGAGCAGCCAAAGCTAAAACGTCCGCACAGGATACAACAGCAGAGCAAGAAGCTTCAAGCTGAGATTTGGCATCGTCAATGACTTCAAAGCCTCTTAAACCAGTGTTTGCTAAAGCATTCTTCTCTGCCGATGATCCTGATATCAATATGGATCCATCACATCCCTGTTAATCATAATAATTATCAAACACATTAATTAATGATTAACAATAATAATCATCTCTTAATCAACAAGTCAACCTCCCTAAACTGAAGAGATAGAAATGATATGGTGAAACCTGGACGAAGCAGTCATGGAAGTGAAGCCTGAGAAGGGAAGGAGCAACGGTGGGATCTTTATTGAAGTGAGATTCTACGGTTGATCTTACTATGGCTTCTGCAGATGGACATGAAGATGAATAAAAGCCAGCTTTGAGTTGCCCTTCTGCTCTCAAGCTCATCATCATCAGCGTAATAAACATCATAACACAACACCACCACATGATGCCTTCCATTAATTAAACTGCTTACTTTTTCTCTTTCCCTTGCTTCCACCATTTGAACCCTTTCCCCTACCTTATATAAGGCCATGTGATGTACGTCCACTAAAAGAAGAGCTCTCTTTTCTTTTGATTTTATTCTTTATTTTTTTTTAATGGTGCTTGATTAGAGATAAGTGCAGATAAGTTGACTCAAAAAATAGATGGCTATGATTTTTTTCAAAAAAAAAAAAATTCATGTGTTCATATCGGGGTTTGTATGTATGTTATGTTTACGATAAAATGATTTACTCTAATAAATAGATACTTAGATCGAGTTAGGTAGTCGGACTAATAATCTAATCACTTAATTAATCTATCCGATAAATCAATTGAATTGTGAAAAGCAAGTGACCAATGTGAACTTGGAATTGACTCAATGTAACTCTGGACGATTCAATGAGTTGGACAAGTTGTCCAAAGAAATGCGAGAGCTTGGAGAGAAAGAAGAAGATAAGAGAGGCAGAAGGAAAATAAGAGATAAAAAAAAAAAAACCATAGAAGAGAACTCCTGAAAAATTATGATAAAAATTTGTAGCAATCTTTTAAATCGCATTCTCACTTTTTTGTTTTAAAATTTTTAAGTAATATTCCAATAATGCACTGTCTGTTTATTATCTATGACTTTTATATTTCCTCCATTATATTGTTTTTAATTTTTATTTTCCCAATATTTTATATAAATAGTTAATAGTTAAATACACACATACAAACGGTTTAACCCGTATTCGACCAATAATCTCTAAACCAATATTTCGATTAATTTAATAAAGAGTCCAGTTTACGATCCCTTGGTGATTCTGCCATCCATATCATTGATGCTTTCAGCATTATTCCTCTACGCGTTTTTCTTTTTCTCTCTTTCATAATTTTGTTCTCTTTTGCTTTAGTTGTTTATTATTCGTTTTCATTTCGTTCACATTAGCTTTTGCTCACATTTTCAAATTAAAATTCTCCATAATCACTTTTGTACAAACTTTGTGTGAGGTTCCTTAACTTCATCAACTAAAAGAAGGTGACCACTTAAAATTATATATATATATATAAAAAAACAAAGAAACACTACTGTAAATTAAGATCTAAATACGGAAGTCATACATACATAACATTTAGATGTGATGAACATTGAACATACCTCATACCCTTGCGCAATATAAATATAATTAAAGAAACTTAATTATTTTGGAACTCAAGTATATAAATATCTATATATATATATATATATATATATATGTCCCAGTGTTAACGCCACTTGTCTAGTTTAAATGAGACCATAGACTCAAGCATGGCCTTGGTCTTGATATGTTTTTGTGCATGTGTTTAATTATATAAAATTAATACACACACATATATATATTCCTCTAGTCTTATTTATAAGTCACTTCTATACAAATAAAAAAAGATTTATTAAGTCTTCTTTAAAATTTAACAACTTTTCAACTTTATCTTTATTTAATATATATCATATCCCATGTAGATAAAGTCAATACAATGATAAATGAAAGGTAAAATTGTATATTTGTATGGAAAATTTCTTTCAGTACCCTATAAATAGGAGTAAAAAATGTCTTCTCTTTCTGCTCTATAAATAGGACCAGAGGCATATATATTAGCAAATATTAATTTCAGTCCTTAATATAAGAGCTAGATAACTAATTTGATGACATTAAAAAAATTAGTTAAGTTAGTTATTTATCATAAATATATGTTAGTCTTCTTAAATCATCCTCTTCAATCATATGTAATAAAATATTGGATGATTGAAATTATTTCTTAGTGGGAATTCCTTACAATCAATAGGAATTTTTTTTAAAAAAAAATGAGACAAAGTAAACTAAGATTTTATATTTAAAACTAAATTTAAATCTTAACTCGCTTCTACTATACTAAGCGTAAAAATAACATAAATTTCTTACTTTAATGTTGATGGCGGTCAGGCGATAGTGTCTTTTTTTTTTTGGGGCCAAAGGTCAGGCGATGGTTGAGGACAGAGCACTAATATATATCCGTGGAAGTGGAATTATGATTCTTTGTTCACTGAATGCGGGTCCATAAGTACATACGTTCACACCGGTACAATGTGCACTTTTGTCTCTTTAGTGGCATTTGTACAGTCAGAGAGCAATTTGATTGAAATAAAGTATTGTGTATTTTATTTATATATATTTGTGTGGGGACAATATTAACAGGATTTAAATATTGGGGAAAACAATTAAGAAGCACCCTTTTGGGAGGGGAAAAAAAAAAATTGAGTGGCTTACCCTATTGCCGGGATTCTTTGTTGACTTGATAATTAATGTAACAATATCGAGGAATATAAAAGAAAATATTTTTTTTTAAAATGATAGTTGAATTTCTAAAATCCTAAAAGTCACCTAAATTTGCAAAATTGCAAATTAGTCACAAAGACTAAATTGAAATTTTATTTCTTTCAACATTTGTAACGTTTTACCATGTGTTTTTTAGGTTTTTAAACTAGAACTTTTTTAAACATTTGTAACCTAATTAACAACTGTTATAATGATATTCAAAATTCTATTAATGCTATTTACCATGTGCTTTCTAAGTTTTTCAATTAATTTTTTTTTCAACATTTGTAACATGATTAACAATACTCAATCAATATTTGCAACTCTGTTAATATCATAGAGTTGGGCTCATACTAATTTTTTCAATTTCAAGAACCTATCATAAGTAGTTAATAACATTAATAGAGTTGTGAATATAAAAGTTGGCAATCATGTTACAAATAACTAGTAATTTAAGTATGATTCTGTGAATTTTTGACCAAAAAAAAAGTATGATTCTGTGAATACTGTTGGCAACCACGTTATCCTTCTTGAAAAATTAAAATTTCAAGTTGCATTAAACGAGGTTAATTACTGACTAAATTGGCAACCATGGTACTTTGAAAGTTGGCAATATTCAAAAAATTTCTTGACTAAATTTGCTAGAATATTATTGGCAAACTATGCTAAGAAGAGTTGGCAACCGTGTTATACTTATTGAAAAATTAAAATTTCTAGCTGTATTAAATAAGGTTAGTTAATTTCATAAGTTACTTCAAAAACGTTTAATAATTTGTTTAATAAAAGAAAAAAATGATATTTAAATAATATAAGTTTACAAATACAAATAGCCAATGAAGTAAAATGAATTCCTAAGAAATAATAATAAAAAACTAAATTGGAATGTCCTAAAGTTAAAGGACCTTTTAGGATCAGGTTGTCAGAGTCCTATGTTGCGAATTCAGAAAAGAATAGCACGAAAATACTTGGAAAGAAAAGTTGTCCCTAAAATTATTTTATTTTCCCACAAAAATTCCTGCATGGGAGAACTATTATAACAAATAATTCCATTCATCATTGTGCAAAGATAGGCTGAAATCAACAATGGATTTTGGCCTATCAACTTTTAGTATGGGAGAAGAAATTGAGGATTCAAGATCTTAAAAGTTCGCAATTTGCATTACTTCCCTAATTATTGTCGAAGGGCAGTCTCTTTTTGCATGATGTAAAACAGTATGATCCCTTTTCTTCCAAATAATATGCACAAGACATATCATTTGAGAAATAAAAGCAGTCCATAGAGTTAATACTATTTTTGGTCCTCATACTTTATTTTCATTTTGACATTAGTTTCTGAAGTTTCAAAGAGTAGTTGTTGGTTCTTTAAATTTTGTCTGTTTGTATCGTTAGTCCTTGAACTTTGAAAAGGACTTGAATCAGTGCAACCCTAAAAAACTAGCTAAGGTGTGCCGATAAGATGGAAGTTGGTGTGAAAAAATAATAAACTGATATCTTTTAAATATATTATACTACCTCCGGTCCTTAATATAGGACCTCATTTGACTTTTATTTTGGTCTTAAATATAAGACCCTAATTCACTTTGTTTATAATATCTATACATTTTTTTTTCAAGATAGCCCTTCTAACAATAGTAATTCTAACCAATACATTTGATTAGTAAAGATATTTTAGGAAAGATAACACCTATTTATGACAAATAACTAACTTAACTTTTTTCTATAATCTCCTCAAATTAGTCAACTAGCTCTTATAATTAGCACTGGAGGTAGTATAATAAAAGAGGAAACAAACATAGAACCATCGAAGAAGAGCCATATTTTTGGGATTAAGCCCACTCGGTGAAGCAGCGGATCCTAAGAGGCCTGATGTTGTAGAGGTTGTCGACCACGAGCCAAGGGTACAGGCACACGACAGCCTGAAGCGTAGGAGCTATATATAACTGGTAGCAGAGGAACAAGTTTATGATCGAGCTGGATATTAGAAGCAATGCCATGAAAGAAGAAGAAGAAGAAAAAGAGAGGATATTACAGTTAAGAACAAGAGGTGAGGGGTGGGAGATACGAGGAGGGAGTAGGAGTGTTCACGGGACGGGATGGGACCAGGACAGGCCCGTCCTTGTGAACAGGGATAGGACAGAGATTTTGTCCCATGTCCTGTCAAGACCAGGACGGGACAGGGACGTCTCATCCCTTTTTTTCCCCACCCCTTCAAATTGGACCCTTTCTATTGGGCCAAGATGGCCTCATTTTTTCTTTTTTGGGCACCGCATTTTCTCTTTATTATTTGGGCCTTTGCAATACTTTTAAATTAACAAAAAGTCCTTTGGTTCGTTATACATAATAATAATGATAAAAAACTGATCTAAAAATAAAAAACACCATCACCATAGCAATAATACATGCCATATTTGCGCAGTCAAGTGAATGCGAAGATTTGAGAATTAGAACAACAAATCATTACTCATATCAAGGGGACAATGATTACTTCACAATATATTGAAAATACTAAAGTATGCATCAAAATCATGCGCCTTTGAGGAAAATAAGTAAACTGTAACTATGAATAAAATCCTGCAGGGACTGCTATTCTTTCTTTTGTTCCTAAAACAGGGAGTCACTAATCCATTACTGAAACACACCTTGCTACATTAATATTGTCATCACAAACCCTTTAATATTTTGAACCACCTTTTAATAATCAAGAACACAATAATAAATCTGCAATCCAAGTAGAACAATCCACCATAACAATTCATTTCCAAGACAGTCGTAACACAATCAGTCCAAACCAAAACAAGCAAAACACAATAATATAAAATTTCAATCCATGACATTAAAGCTAAATCAAAGCAACCAACCATGAGCCAACTACAAAGCAATTTAACTTTCTAAGAGATTTGAAATTGAAGCTGTTAATTGCTCTTTTGCAAAAAAAAAAACACCAAAAAAAGAACAATTTATTAGTGCCTTAGTGGTATAAGGTATTTGAACAAAGTTGAAAAAATAAATAAAATAAAATAAAGAATACAAATTACCAATGTCAATATTATTGAAGTTATCAGTATCAAATCCCTTTAGTTTTGATGTAGATGGAGATAACCAATTTTGTGCACAAATTAGTGTCTCGACCATCTTTAATGATAGGGAACTTCTGAATTCATCAATGACACGACCTCCTGTACTAAATACAGATTCTAAAGACACAATGGATAAAGGCATAGCCAAAACATCACGTGCATTCAATGAAAGGATTTTGTATTTGGAACCATTTACTTTCCACCATGCTAAAATATCAAAGTTAGAACGAAGCACATCAACTAACTCAACTTGAAAATACTTGTCCACTTTTGCATATTTATATGTTTCAACCTCAATCTCATTTTGAGCAACAAATAGTTGCAGTAGAGGCCTAGATTCCAACATTGCTATCCGAAGTTGACTTAAATCGGTAGGATCACTTGATGCTTGTGTCTGATTTTGGTTTTGAGATTTAGATGTGTTTGTTTCATGCCTACTTGAATAGAAGTTATACAAACAATACAAGGCATTTGTAACTCTATTTGTCATGGCTTCACATTGTGTAGAATCAGGAAACATCTCATTAAAAGCAAGCTTCAAAAACTTCATCTTATACCTAGGGTCAAGAATCATTGCTATTACCAACAAAGGATTGAGATTCTCCAACCATCCCCAATACTTTTCATACTTGCATTTCATCCTCTTAGCCATATCAGACACCAAAAAATTAGGATTATTTGCCCTTGTTTGTAGGATAACAAACACATCAGCTATGTGTTGGAAGCATACAATTGAGGTAATATAAAGTGATCCTGAAAATTGCAAAGTGATGTCATAGAACACTTTTAAAAAGACAACAAATTCTTTAGCATATTTCCAATTGGAAACATCAGGAGGACCAATTAATGCTTTCTTCACAAAATAGTTTGTGTAATCATTATCCTCTTTCTCCATTCCTTCAAAGACGCTACTGAATTTAATGGCATTCTCCAAAATGATGTAAGTTAAATTCCATCTAGTTGGACAATCCATGGTTAGTAGGATCTTAGAGTCAACTTTCATTTTCTCAACAAGCTCTTTGAATTTGAGCAACCTTTCTAGAGAAAACCTCACATATTTAATGGCATTTCAAATGTCTTCAATAGATCTGTGCATGTCCTTCACACCATCACAAACAATCAAATTCAAAATATGTGCACAACACCTCAAATGCAAGAAGTCCCCGTTACATACCAAACCATTCCAATAGCTCAAAACATCTTTCAATTTTGCCACTGCATTGTCATTTGAAGATGCATTATCAATTGTGATAGTAAACACTTTCTCAATATCCCAAGCTAATAAACATTTCTCTATTTCTGATGCAATTGTATCACCCTTATGATTTTCAACTACACATAAATTCAAGATTCGCTTTTGGTATATCCATTCCTCATCAATCCAGTGAGCAGTTAAGCACATAAAGTTAGAATTTTGACAAGAAGTCCATGTATATGTAGTAGGGCAAACATGAAATTTTGTTCTTTTAAAATATATTTTCAACTTCCTCGCTTCTTCAAGATACAAACCCAAACAGTCCCTAGTGATAGTCACTCTTGATGGGACTTGAAAAAGGGGTTCTATCCTGGTCATCATTTCTTTAAACCCATCACCTTCCACAACTCGAAAAGGCATTTCATCCAATATAACAAACAATGCAACACCTTTTCTACATTCTTCTTGATTAAATATATGATGACTCAATGTTTTAGAAGAACGTAATTGAGAGCCTGACAACAAAGATTGTGTCCTCTTATTAATTCGGCTTGGATTTAAGGCACACTTCTCTATGTGTTTTCTTAATCCACTTGTCCCATATGAAGAATGACAAGCAATTGTTGTTAGACAATACCTGCACTTTGCTCAGAGTTCTCCATTTGTTTGGCTTAAAGGAAGCTTGTCAATGTGATCCTAAACTACATATTTCTGTCTTTTTGCTCTTGGTTCATCTCTTCCTTACCCTCAATATTTGTCAAACCAGTGTCTTTTTCCTTTTCATTAGCAGAGGGTGTTTCTATAGTTCTACTTTCAGTTTCACCACAATCTTCTTGAGTAGTTTGTGCATTCGACATCTTTAAAATTAATTAAACTTCTTTTCTGCATAAATAGGAAAAAGAGCACAAATAATTTACAAATCAAATTGCTAACTAATCAATTTACCTCCTCACAATAGACAACAAACTGACAACAAACACAATACATATCATTTAACTATGCTCAATTCGAATCATGCACGGATGATATTTCCATTAAATGATAATATATCCCCAGCCTAAGTCTTAACTGTATTTCACTAGTGAAGCTAGTTAAGCCACAGACCAAAAAAGCCACAGTTGTTCGAATTTAAAAAACAAAAATAGAAGAGAGACAGTTACCTGTGTCTCGCAGATGAATTGATTCAGGGGACAGTTCATAGCAAAGGCACAGGCAGAGCTGGCACGGGAAGAGACACGGTGAGAATTTTATATCAGGGCAATGCAATTTATATTAGTTAGGCCCTCGAGGTGCAATCAGTATATGGGTATCTCAAATACAAGAAAATTAGAAGCAGGATTAGCATGGGAGTATTATACTTTTTAACATTTGGAAGATTGTAAATCACCCTTACCTTAGTGGTTGTCAAGGGTAGGGAAGAGACTCAAAGCAACCGTAATCAGACTTGAAGAAGAGGGTAGGAGAGACACCGACGTCAGAGCACTGGCCCAAGAAAAAATCCTTGAGAATGTCCACGAGAGGGCACAACTAGCGATCTACAGACTAGACTGAATGGCTACACACGAGAGGCCAATCTAGAGGGAGATCTGCAGGAGAGTAGAAGCACACTGTCGTGGGGAAGCCGGTTTAGAAATAGCCCCCTCTAGCACTTTGTCCCGATAGGCTTGTGAGCCCGGTACCTTGAAGAGATGATCAAAGTTGCTAATCAATTCCTCCAGTACCAGCAACCAGAAAATAAAGTCGACTTGAGGAAGTGATCTTGAAGGCGGCAAGGTGACAAGGGAGGCGTCAAAGGTTTATAGAGGTCGCATTGCAGGGAGCCAGGGAAGGAAAGAATGAGGAGTGAACTGAAGGCTAAAGGGAGGCGCTGAATTAGTTTGGTATTAGACTATTAGAAATAAAAATTTAGGGCAAGTCAGGATCTGATAGGGAGGTTGGTATATTTGCAATTTTTTTTAAGTATATAGTATATACCCCAGGACAGGATGACCCCGTCTCATGTCATGTCCCGTCTCGAGATATATTTTGTCCTGTCCCGTCCCGTCCTGTCCCAAAGTTACTGGGACCAAGAAGGACCCACCGGAGCGAGACAATTTGAACACCCCTCGAGGGAGGGAGTTGGTGAACTGAATAATGAATGATTGTTGTGTATATGTTAATATTGGACATTGGGCCCGAGTCCACACCTAAAAGAAGATAATCCCTCTAACGAGGAAAAACAATCATAAATCAAAAGGAAGAAGTAATGAATGATTAATTGGAAAATATCCAATCAAATATTCAGAGCTTGATTGATTGGACAAAAATCAATCTTATATTAATTATTGATTGTAGAATCAGAATATTATCCTATGACAACTAAAGAAGATTGCATCTTCTTGAAATAAGAATAAGGGTCACCCTATCCTATAAATAGGATGTGTCTTTACTCATTTCTTTTCATCCAACTGTTTAGTTTTTCGGTGTTGTTTGCTTCACTATTTGGTGCATCTTTTGTGCCATTTTTATCGAGAGTTTAGTAGTCAAGATACTGCATGAGCTATCAGTATCAAGACCTGGAACCGACTCGGTCTCTCTCTATTTATTTCTATTATTTTCTTTAATCAATAATGGAGATCTGTATGGGAAATTGAATAAAATGAATTACGTTTGGGGGGGGGAGGAAGATAAGTAAGAATAAATATGGAGATCTATATGGGAAATTAAATAAAAATAGAATGGGATGCCTCGTCCCAACCTCATGGCCTCTAGAAATGTCATCTCGTGAGCAAGCCTGTTACCAATTAAATTAGATCAAATTTTCAATTTACAAAATATAGAAAATTAATTAATAGTTAAAAAAAATTCAATTTAAAAATTAGAGAGGTTTATATTCTTTCTGAATATGGATAATAATCCTCCAAACATTGGGTCGTTCTTCTTGAGTCAACAGGTGAAAAAGAGATCCATCACTGTTGACTGACACAATGTGAAGTTTGTGGCTTCGTGGGGATAGAAGCACAGGTGGCGGTCAACCTAGTAGCTCATTAGGGGTTAGAAAAAAAGATGAATCCATGAAGAAGAAACTTGAAAAGACCTCTTCTTAATACATAATTATAAAACTATTTTTAAAATGATAACCATGGTAGAAAAAGAATTGAGTTAGAGTGTTAAAATACTACCATGGTTATAAAGAGTTTGACTTAATTCGAAAATATCCCAAGTGGCTTAGGATACTTAAAACACCCATAAGTTTAACAACGTAGAACAAAGTCTCAGGGCACAGTAACCGCCCACAAGCCCAACATAATATTCATCCCACAAAGACTTAGGGCACAAGAAACATAGGTTGCTCAACCCAACCCATAAGGCATACACCTAAGAGTATCACATACAGTAGAGTCTTATGGCCTTCAGCCATTTTAACAGCATTCCATCAAATACAGTCATCCAAACAAAAGAAAGTATACGTCAACATAGTTGTGGGCCCTAAGATGGCAATATACATAACATTACATGCCTAAACCAAAAGAGGACTACTAGGCTATGCTCGCCTATGCCTCTGGTTGCTTCCTTTCACGCCGAGCCAAACTAGATGGCTCTCCTGAAAAGTATTGATAAATAGCGGGGTGAGACATAAAGTCCCAGTAACCAAGTATTAATTTATGACATATACAAGTAGGATGGCAAGTTGGTGAAGTAGTGCTTAAATATAATTTAAGAAATAAATAGTACTTTAATAGATATAATCACATAAAAAGAGTATATCTCTTCATCCACAACACAATTCATATAAAAGTACATATATGCAACAACACAATGAAATATGCCCTCCCATCACCTTTCTCCTCCTTATGACTCCTTGACAAGGACCCGGGCTTTCTGTGCTGAGTAACCCGGCCAAAGGTCACCCCACTCACATCAAGCAACGGGCCCCCTCTTGTACCTACACTGCCCAAGAATGGACTATGGTGCAAGAGGTGTCTACCCAAGAGTTCATTCTCAATTCCGGGCCAATGAAAAGGAAGAACTACAGGGGTCTAACAATAAGGCCAAACACTGGGATCCGTAGTGTAGGCATGCCGCGCGGGCTTCAAGAACAATTATCCTCCACATAACAAAATCCCATCCTCCACATATGAACCCCATGCATAGTCACAATATAAATCAAAATATCACAATCTTCAAAGTAAGATGATATAATTTCAAACAAAATATAACACATTTTCATTTTATTTAATAACATAATATTAGTATATTAAATTCAGTACTACACGAAAACACAATTTCCAATAAAATACAACTCAAACATAATTAGATCAACATACTTCCCACTTCACCAAAATTTGTCATATAATAAAATATATATTTTATTCACGGCATACTTTTACAAATTAACTAAGAAAATAAAAACATAATAAACACCTTACAATCCAAAGCGTGTATATAAAATAAATTAACCCCGGTTACCTCTACTCCAAGCCTAACCTCACAGCTTGAGAAATAAGAGCGCAAATTACAAACTCCGAAGTACAAGATAATCTACAAATAATATAGATACAATTTAATATACATACAAATAATTAACTTAAATTACATAGAATTTATTATTAATAATATCTATACATATATTTACTATCCAAAAATTCTTACTTCAAATAAATTTTTTTTTCCTACCAAATAACTCATTTAAATTATAAATATTTATAAAATATTGTTTTTATCTAATATTGTAAGAATCTCAATTTATAACTTAAGTTTCCAGTTTCAAAATTTTTCTAATAATATAGTCTTAACCT